AATCTCCTGAAATAGGCCTTATAAGATGTAGATAAAAGAGCATTTATTACAAGAGATCCTGTGGAATGACAGATTTCAGTAAGTGAGAGACAGAACCAGGACCAGTGAAGACAGACTTGTATCACCCACTGTGTTTTGGGGGTCAGAACCTCTTTGGCACTAATCATTTACAAGACATTTATTAAGTCAGCCTTCTTTATTTTGGTCAGCTGATATCAACACAAGCCTTGGAACATGCTGGTGAGATTTTTTTTCCTCCTCTAAAACTAATTTATCTATATAGAAGTTTTTTGAAAATGACAATTCAATTAAATTTGAGTGGTTTTAGTATCTTCAATATATTTTCAAGACACTACACTCAAAAGTAAGGGGAGAATGAAATTAATAAGATGATATAATGAGATAAAATTCATCTATTCATGACTATGAGATACATTAGCATGATTATGAAAAGGAATACTCATCAAGAGTTTTATTATTTCAAAAAGCAGTGAGGGGTTGTCATGGCTGAAATGCACAGAAAACTGAGGAAGGAATGCTTTGAGATGGATATTGATTCAAGAACAAAGCAAGATTCCTCTAGCATTTTTGGTATGGACAATGGCTGGACAATATAGGAGTGTCATAAATGTGACATATAAGTAAGATAATTTATAGAAATCAAAAATTGTGAAATGTGAGCTCCCTTAAATCAGAATCTCAGAGGGAAAATATAATTACTATTATTTTTCAATCAGATGTGAAAAACAAAGGGGATCCCACATGCAAAAGCAGAGGAAGGTAATCAAGCTCTGAATATGAATTGACGATGATGATGATGACGATGATGACGATGATCATTGTTTTGTATTGCATAAGAGAAGGCACACCTGTAAGGACTATTCCAACAACTTTAATTTATACACATGAGGACACAGCCCCACTGTTTCATAAATGTAGACATGCCAGGGACAACGTTTCCACAAATAATTACAGATTGCACAGAGTTCAGCAAGAGCTGTAGGCACTAAACTTATCAGAGATCTTGAGGAGATGGAGCCTCGCTCAGGGAGCTAAAGTTCATAATAATTAGCCAACACACTGTGTAAACCTGCCCTAACCAGCAGAGGAAAGGTATTTACAATGAATAAATAGTTAATCTTCCAAAACTCTCTCACGCTAACTGTGGCATTATCAAGGCAGTATTTTCCAACTACCAATGCTCCTTTTTTTTTTTTCCCCCCTTTGCTTTCCATTCACATACAATTATCAATATATCTAGACTGCATGTTTGGTCATTGTGGTGGTTATGTTTGTGTGGCGACTTAGCTAGTCCTGACTGAGTGGTTGGGCATCTGGTCGTAGTTATTCCCCATAATGAGACTGGCAATCAACTCCATGGTGGGATCTACTATAAGCAGCTGAGTAGCTACTTTGGGTATGTGGTCTGCTCCCCGTATATAAGCAGCAGGCTTGGTAATAGTTTCTAGCTTATGGTACTCTTGGACCCTGCCATATTCTGTTGATCTTGGGACTTACAATGGACTTAAATTAATGGCCTGCCATGTGGTTTGATAACATCTGGACTATGCCTTTTTACTTGTTGACTTTGGGCTTGTCAGCCTCAGCAGCCAGCAGCTGTCTGAATGAGGAAACGCCTCTAGCTCCAGTGGGTCGGGAGCAGGAGGCAGAGCTGGACCCCAAGGTTGAGAGGCTTTCACCCAGCCTCTAGAGCCTGGCACTTTGAACTTGAACTTCTAGCCTCCTGAACTGTAAGAGAATAAACTCTTGTTTGTTCAAGCCATCCCATTTGTGGTATATTCTTGTCGGAGTGGCACTAGTTAGCCAGAACAGTCATTTTCATACTGCAGCAATTGGTAAAAATCTTCAATTTGTTCATATTTAACTTTATTGATTAGTATACAGATTTGAATAATAGTGTTATTATATCAGTCCTCTTGGAGGAATAAGGATATTATCTTATCATTATACTTCAAGATAGATTTTGAAATGTTATTTTAAAGAATGAATGTGATGTTGTTGCTCTCAATCTGGCATTAACAGCTTACTGGATCATATGATTCATTGAAAATGGCTGAAACCCATCCATTTCAGCTCACTAAACCCAAGGAGAGGTCACTATGAGTCGGGGCTGACTCGATGGCACATAACAACAACAACAACAATGCCTAGGATATCAATCTTTATGCATTGCATTTCATTTTTGACAGCTTCCAATTTTGTTAGATTCATGCTTCGTGCGTTCCACATTCCAATTATTAGTGAATGTTTGCCGCTGTTTCTTCCCATGTTGAGTCAAGCACAAACAGCTAATGAAGGCCCCAAAAACCTTAATCCATGCACATGAGTAGGGTAGATTCTACTTTGAGTAGGGAGCTCTTCCCCAGTCATATTTTGAGTGTCATCAAACCTGAGGGGCTCATTCTCCAGCACTATATCAGAAAACGTTTTACCAATATTCATAAAATTTTCCAGCAATATACCTGACAATGGTTCACTGCTATTCACAAAGTTTTCAGTGGCTAACGTTTTCAGAAGTGGCGCTGTTGCACAACAAACATGTGACCCCCTAAGTTAAGTTTCCTATCAAATCTTCAAGTTTCTGTTGCAAATTTGACCCCATAGTTCTTAAAAGAGCATTATGTTCAAGACAGTTATTTTATATTTATTTATTTACTAGTTAAGGGTTTTAGTAGCTGATTTGTTGAAAGTAGATTGCCGGGCTTTCCTTCCAAGGTGCTTCTGGGTTGACTTGCTTCTCCAAACATTCAGTTATCAGCTGAGGATGTTAACTGTTTGCACCACCATAGGACTCCAAACACAGAAGTTATTTCAAAATCAGGTTTTATGTTTATACAAAATAAGAAGTAAGCAAAAGTTAAAATGAATAACTAATTCTTAAAAACTGGCAAGAGAGATGGAACATTGGCTTGATGAGTGAGTTAGGGGATTTGATTGATCTCTCTGTACTTTAATTTCTCATCTGAAGTGAATGAATGGACTCTTGTATGAAGGATGATGGTCCGAATATATACATTTCCATTTCCCTGATTATGAAGGTCACCAGTAATGAGTATTATTTTCCATATTCTTCTACTATGATTATTCATTTTTTTCTACAATGGAAATAATGTTGTTTGTCCTTTTCTTTTTTTTCAGGCAGTTTAATTGTCTCAGGAACTTGAGCTTCTGCAGGAATTCCATGGGAACAATAAACAATGTAACTATGTTCATTTTCTTGGGCCTTTCTCAGAACCCAGAGGTGGAAAAAGTTTGTTCGGTAGTGTTTTCTTTCTTATACACAGCTGGTCTTCTTGGAAACCTTCTCATCATGCTGACTGTGCACATGAGCAACCTTTTCAAGTCTCCTATGTATTTCTTTCTCAACTATTTATCTTTTGTGGACATCTGTTACTCCTCTGTTACAGCTCCCAAGATGATTGCTGACCTATTAGCTAAGAGAAAAACTATCTACTACGTGGGGTGCATGTTGCAACTCTTTGGGGTACATTTCTTTGGCTCCACTGAGATCTTAATCCTTATTATAATGGCCTATGATCGGTATGTGGCCATCTGTAAACCTCTCCACTATATGACCATCATGGACCGGGACAGATGCAATCAAATCATGCTGGGGATCTCAGTAGGTGGGTTCTTACACACTATTATCCTGCTGTCTTTGGTGCTCCAGCTCCCCTTTTGTGGACCCAATGTGATTGATCACTACTTTTGTGATGCCCACCCTTTGCTGAAACTGGCCTGCACAGACACATATGTTGCTGGTGTTGTTGAGACAGCCAACAGCGGGACTGTGGCCATGGGGGGATTTGTAATCTTGTTAATCTCCTACACTGTCATCCTGGTGTCCCTGAGAAAGCAGTCAGCAGAAGGCAGGCGCAAAGCTCTCTCCACCTGTGGCTCCCACATTGCTGTGGTCGTCATCTTTTTTGGTCCTTGCACTTTCATATACATGCGCCCTGACACTACATTTGCTGAGGATAAGATGGTGGCTGTATTTTACACCATCGTCACCCCCATGTTAAATCCCCTGATTTATACACTGAGAAATGCAGAAGTAAAAAATGCTATGAAGAAACTGTGGTGTAGGAAGGTTTTTGGAAAAGTAATGAGAAATGGTTTGAAGTAATGATACTTTAACAATTTGATTTTAATTTATTCAGTCTTGGTTAATGCAACTATACATTGAAAACAGTAATGCTAACCTTGTAGGCTTATTGGGAGAAACAAATGTTGCTTTCTCCTTCCAATCCTTGCCTATTCTCTCTAAAAATAAAAGTCTATTTCCTGTGTGGAGCTGTGGTTGATACATATTAAGCACTCAAGATCATTTGTTATAGGAAAAAGTATAAAAGTTGGGTTGCAAACTGGATTTTTTTTTTTTTCTTTTTTCTGTTGCTGGGGAATATATTACTGATTATCTATCTGCTCTTGTTTAGTTTCCTTTTCCACAATTATGATTATCCATTTATTATGTATATTCCTTATGTCTGTTGTGGTTTCTGGGTATTTGTGTGTGTGTGTGTGTGTGTGCACAAACATTTCTCACATTAAGGACTGTGTACTGATAGTGCTTAAAAATTCTGGCTGATGTTGGTGCAATCACAGAACTAAAGAGATGAAAGGTACTAAAGGAGCAAGACATCTGAGTTAGAAGTTGTCATCAAGAAACTCTTCCCCTGGGACTGTGCAAATCCAAGGTTACTGTCCGACATTGGACATACAATCACTGTGTCTCTGTAAGCCTCTGTTTCTACTAGTTTAAAAAGAGAACTGGATGAGTGCTTATCAAGTTAGCTGATCGTTTGAGTCACCTTTAGAGAGTTTTAAACAGATAACAGAATCTACTCTGAGAGATTCTTATTCAGTAGGCTAGGGTTAAGCTGCGTATAAAAATCTATGTATTTAACCAATTCCTCTGATAAGTTTTATGTAGTCAGGGAACTTAGATTTTGAAATAATGGCACTAGATGACATTTGATGTTGAAAGGGTTAAAGAGAATTGTGATTCTAAAATATCCAAGTGCATGCTTTTTCATATATTTCCCTACCTATTGTGACAGCCAACACTAAGTGAGCCAAGATGTTACTTATTTAGAAAACTGTTTAAGAAATAAATGTGATCCATTTGATAATTGTCTTCACAGTACTCTTACCTTTATTTCCTTACAATAAATGTTGGGAGTTAAGGAACTAAAGTGTTAATATTGCATGTGTGAGGACCCTAAGAAGTTAGAAGTTGCCAGGTCCATAATTCTTAAAGACTGAGTAGGGGAACATAAAACAGTACTCAAGACTCCACCAGTGATGTTACAAAGTCACCCCTGTTCATAAAGTTTGCTAAGAGTCAGTTATTACCAGAGCACCTGAGAGTCTCCTCATGGTTCCTTGGAAGGAAATGACCAAGAACTAGGAGAACTCAGATTTTTCCCAGTCATAATGGGGAAAGGAAGGTCAACAATAACATTTTATTCTATCATTTATCACCACAACACTTTTATATTTTCTAGAAGCTTTATAACCATGCTGTCACAAGAAAGGAGGTGTGACTTTGATTAGAGACTTCATTGATGGAAAAAAAAATAAAAACATCTCTCATTTTCGAAATGAAGAAATCAATTTATTTCATTATGAAAAAATATGTCTCCCTGTGTGTTTTAACCACTAGTTAGAATTCTGTTTTCTGGAGCAGCGAAAAATATTTTAAACACATTTGACTACATAAGTGTATCTTTGATGTCCCTCTACGGGTTGTACTTTTTCTCATTTAACATATCCTGGAGATTAAAATGCTTCTCATATCTCAGGATCTCAGGAACTTGACTATTTCTGAAGTACCTTTTGCCTTTTGTTTTTTTTTTTTTTTGGTTTGGTGGAGATGCTTCATTTTCGTGTTTCCTGTTCTTGCATGCTTGCTGCCGGTTTTGAGCACAATTTCAGCAACAAATAATAATATAAAACTTTTCTTTTTTCATGAGAAGAATGACTGTTATATAGGGACTATCTGAAACCAACCTGAAGCCTGGAGTTAAGCCCAATGTGATAGTTAAGGTTATGTGTCAATTTGCCTGGGTCTGGTCTTGAGTTGGTAGGCAGCTGGATGTAGTTATTCCCCATGATGAGACTTTTAATCAACTCCAAGGTGGAATCTGCTGTTTACAAAAGAGTATCTGCCATAGGCAGGTGGTCCACTTCCAGTACATAGGAAGAAACTTGGAGCAAAGTCTTGAGATTTTGGGCACATCTGGATACTGCATTTGGCTGAGCCTTCATCTCGGTGGCCTGCCATGATGTCTGCCACTCTTGAGCTGCTTCTGGATTTGGACAAGTGGCCTGTTGTGTCCCTTGATGATCTTGGAACTGTGTCATTATACTTGTGGTCCTTGAGTTTGTCAGCCTCAGCGGCCAGCAGCTGCTTGAGTTAAGAGACACCTCCAGCTCCAGTGGGCCAGGAAAAGGAGGCAGAGCTGAAGCTCAGGATCGAGGGTCCTTCACCTAACCTCTGGAGGTGGTACTTTGAACTTGGACTTGTAGCTTCCTAAACTGTAAGAGAATAAACCCCTGTTGCTTAAAGCCATTAATTTGTGGTGCTTTCTGTTAGAGAAGCACTAGAGAACCACATCCAGTTAAGATTAGATGAATGCACCCTGACCCACAGACATGTGAACAAGAATTAAATTATTTTGTGTAAGCCATGAGCTTTAAAACAGCTTGTTTCATTGCATTAGTGAACTAACTGAGTTATCCAAGGTTAGCATGGTCAAATTGTGAAAGTGGGGATTTCAGATATACTCAAATTTTCAAAACCACCAAAATATTTATTGAAAGGTATTTTGCAAGGATGCCTCCAGGCAGAATAAGCAGTTTAGGATCCTTTGCTAAACTAGAAGGGTAGCAGTTTAAAAACCAATAATGTCACAGAAAAAAAATACCTGATGGCCTGTCTGTAAAGACTACAGTTAGAAAACCCAATGGAACAGTTCCACTTTGTAATAAATTAGTTTTCCATGAGTTGAAATTGAATTAATTTCTGTTGTTGTTGTTGTTTACTTGCTAGGAGCAATATAAAAAATATCAACTTTGAGAGAATGGATGTGAAAGAAAGAACATTGATTCATTACACAAAGCCAAATTCTAGACCCTAAGTGTATAGCAGCCTCCCTTCAATAATTCCTTCCATGTGTAACAGGTAGGAAGAGATAAATATAATATCAAACACACTTGTATAGATTCTTCTTCAACCTTCCTTCACAGATAAATTATAAATAAGGGTAAACAAAAGTCACCTACAATCCACATTCAAGCAGATTGCTGAAAGGTCTGTCTGTTTTAGGAGAAACCAAATAGGGAATATGTCACAATAACCCATTGCTGCAGAATGGGCCTACACATGAGTCAACAACAAGTTTTCAAAATAATCAGCAGAATTAGACACTTGTCCAGACCTATAGCATCTCTGTCCACATATGCATTCCTGAAATGGAAACTACTAACTGCAGGTATTCATCACCAAACAAACATCAAACTAGATACTGCACACTAATTTGCTGTTCTAGAGTATTTCATCTTTCCACCTTTCCTTTTCTATATAATTTATCACTAGTTCTTCTCCTCTTAGGATGCTAAGCACACAGATTTTTTTGTAGGCAGTACACATGTGGCAATTTGGAAAGAGAAAACTGATTTCTGAATCTTCCTTCATCCTGCAGCTGATTTCTACAAATCTATCCCTCTTCTTGAAGCATGGATTCCTGTCACACATGGAAAGAAATACTTGTAGTGCATATAACTCAATTTCTTAGTTGGATTTGTGATGTAGAGGAAGGACAGTCTGAAAAAATCAGTTCTCATTCTCTCCTATTTGCAAACTTGGTGAACTTTAACCCACTCCCTCACCCAGTTTCTTCATGTGTTTTCATGACAGATGACAGCAGATAATCTTGGAGATTCTGTTGCAGTTCACAAAGCTCAGGGGATCATCTATAAATGATGCAAAAGTCTCCATGGACCAAAGGTTACCTTTTACTCTGTGTCAGTGTTCAGTTGGTCCTGATTTGTTGTTGTTGTTGTTTTGGTGTAATTATTTTTATTCTCATAGTGTGGCTACCGGCCCAAGCAGAGGGAGGACAGTTTTACATAATATAAAAGGTTCTAAAACACTTCAAACATTCTATTTGCACAGGGCAGTGATATAAATTATATACCAGGAACATCCATCCCTTCATCTATGTGCCTTTCTAAACGTAGAGTATAAGGGTGTGAGATTATGCGTGCTGTTGTTACAAAGAGTATCAACATGTGTACTCATGAAGAATTTTCAAATAAGGTTAATAATAAGGCATGCTGTTGTTTCTCTGTGCAATCAGGTCAAGTTTGACTCAAAGTTACTGCATGGGATAGAGTAGAACTGTCTCATAGGGTCAGGTAGGCTGCAGTCTTTATGGGAGCAGACCACCAGATCTTTCTATTGGGGAGTCCCTGCTGATTTTTTTTTAAACCACAGACCATCTGGTCAGAAGCTGATGACCTAACCATTATTCCACAAGGTTTCCTAAATATGCTGTAGATATATATTCATAGAATTGAGGGAAAAAAAGATGCTAATCATTCAACTATAAACTTCTTACAACTAGAATATACTATATGTATGGTTGATGTTATTGTATTAGTTCTCATCCAGTGAGCTTTCATTCAAATCATGGTGAGCTATTTATTATAGAATGAAATAGAGTGAATTACAGTGACTTCAAAGTTACAATATAGTGTGAATAGTACAATTACATGATATTACATCATTTGTTTAATGTAAAGAGGTAAAACACACAAAATTTTTAATATTTTTTGATATTGCTTTATTTTTCATTATAATTGAAACATCAAAAAACCTAAGTGCCCAGGACCTATGGAAATTGTCTTAGCTGAGATATCTTTTTTAAGCATGGCACAACTTCCAAACCATGATGCCTTTATTATCTGCTCTGATAAAAGTACAATAATCCCTACTCTGTCTGGTATCATATAGAATAGAGTAAGTTGTAGAATTCTTCATGTGACATAAGACTGGTGATCATCTGATCCACTTTCTTGGAAGAGACTCAGAGAAATACATCCAGAAGACAGTGGCCAATA